TATGCTATGGAATTGATAATTTAAAATAAAAAGGCCACCTCATATGCCACATCACAATGTGGCCTAGCTTATGGTACCCTAATTGGCGCCATAAGTGGGTCTACAAGCAACTAATGTTGTTTTGAATTATGTTTCGTTAAGTGTTTTTGAAATTAAAATAAAAATTTTAATTTTATGTTGTTAAAGTATTCTTACTTATAAATCTTATACATATAAATGTTGCCAGATCATTTAATAAAACATAATAAATAAAATCTAATAAATTTTACATATTTGCAATTTTCTTTCCAAATAACCGTTACAATATATTATTATTATTATTAGTGTTATTATTATTATTATTATTATTATTATTATCCATTCTATTCCCTTAATGATAAAATATTTTCTTGCACTTTTTTATGGGTTAATTAAAACAAAAACCGTTATATTTTATATTAATTGAATAATAATTATATTTTTTATTTTATCATATAATATTTATTATTAAAGTTGATAATTATATTTTACATTAAATGATATGTGGAAGTTACATAAACATAAAAAATACTTTTTGTTCAAGTTATTTATTCTAAAATTAACATTATATTTTTTTATTTAATTAAGCGATCGTTTTTAAATAAAATAATTTATTTTGTCATAGTAAAATTCTTTAAAATCATATAAGCAATTGTTATAATAAGTTTAATATTTTTTAACTTATTAATTGATCATGATGCCTCAAAATTACAAAAATTACATTGCTTATTACATTTTATGCAATCAATATAGTGATTCATATATACAATCAAATCGTTATGTATTATTTATTTTAACCAATGATAAATTATTAAAACATAGTACCATCATCTAACATATAATTTTAATATTATATGCATTAATATAACTTATAATACGATATGCTTAAAACGTAATGCCATAATCTAACTTACAATTTTAATATTATATGCATATAAATAATTTATAATAATATTTTATTCACAATGCACAAGATCAACACTAGTTTATACTATTGTCTGTATAACACACTAGAGCATAAATATAACCCACGCATCTCAACTAATAGAAAGCGTTTAATCTTCAAACCTAACAATTATTCCTAAGAGCATCTTCAATGTGACTTTTGACATTATAAAAAATCATCCATATCATCAACTTTTGAAAGTGTGTTACAATTTTTTTCTCCAATGTATCTTGTCATGAACTCTTTCATGAAAAGGTGGATGTTATTTAACGTTGACAATATTGAGCACACTTTCTAATATCTAACACCATGTTAAATATGATGATTCATCAATTTACTTTATATTTGTTTTAATTTTTTATTTTTCTTGTATAAATGAATCATTTAATTGGTTCACCTATACAAATAACTTCAATCAAATTTATGCATTGGAGATACTAGTTTCATTCAAATTTCTAGTCTTTTAAATTATTCCAATGTGGATTAACATTACAATCACTAATTGACATGTGTTAAAAATAATAATTTTTCAAAGTCATAGTATTGGAGATGCTCTAAGTAATCAATTGGATGTTGGCTAAAATTAGTCAACCAGAGAACACGAGGGCACATGCTAATCTACGATTCTTGCGAGAAAAACGTGATATGATAATGGAAAGATTCAAAATTGAAGATGGCACATAAATCTTCTAACCCGTTATCCTTTTTTTTTTTATGGCCCAATAAGTGCCTGGGCACCAATGGGCCAGAGCAAACTAACCCGTTATCCTTATTATTTGCTAATTTACATAATTGTCCAAAAAAAACAATCTATCGAAATAATCATATTGCCCAAAAAACTTTAAAATTACTAAAAACAGTTCCAAAATAAAAATAAATCCTGGGTAATTGAAACAGAATATTTAAAAAAAAAACAAGATACTTACAGAATATATTATTTAAAAATCAATAAACAAGGTACTGGGAGTCGTAACTTGTAACAACAAAACAAGAATATAACAAGAAACGACTGTTGACTATACTACCGAAGCTGAATAAATTGCAGCATCAGATACTATGAAAGAGGTTGTTTGGATACATAACTTTATCCAAGGATTGGATGAAGTCCCGTCTATTGTTGATTCAATAATGATTATTATGACGACAATTGGGCTATAGCGCAAGTGAAAGAGTCAATATCTAATCAAAGGTCCAAACAAATTATAAGGCGATACCACCTTATTCGAGAGATCATTGGTAGAGGCAACGTCGTTGTGGATCTAGTCGCTTCAGCAGAAAATGTAGCAAACTCTTGACTAAGCTCTTGCCACAGAAAGCTTTTGACAGACATCTTAAGAAGATGGCCTTGAAATACATGAGTGATTGGAACTAGGATAAGTGGGAGAATGTTAGTGTAGAATACCAAACGTTCCAATCTGATTGGATTTTTTGCTACTTGTAAAGACAATTTATTGGAATTTATATTATTTAGAGGCATCATTGCTTTCTCATATGTTTTTGCATTTATCACATATTTGCACATATGATAAAGTTCTTCGATTATTATTCGCTTTAAGGCATGGTTACACATTCGGGGCAATCATGGAACATGTATTCAAAGTTATGATCTTAAATAAGTTTCAAGTCGATGAATGTTTCAAGACAGAACATTGAATAACCCGAATATAGAGCGGCTGATTTAGTTTCACAAAAGTCTTTTAAACCAATTAGGCACAATTGCCAAACAAATAAATAAATAATTCCTAAACAGCATGATCTGAACCGAATAATTCAGGTGATCCCTAAACAGAGATCCTTGAAACCAATTAGGCACAATTGCCAAACAAATAAATATGCTCTAATTGCTCAACTCAAATAATTGATAAAACCAATTAGGCACAATTGCCAAACAAATAAATATGCTCTAATTGCTCAAATCGAATAATTGATGTTAACGTCGTGCGCATGCCTTGATTGCCTTCAATTATTTCAGGAATCAAATTATCAAACCAAATAAAATCATCGCGGACANTAGATTACTTGAACAAAAAATTATTTGAAAAGCATGAACATATCATCAAGTTTGCACTTTATTAAGACACAGGAAACAACAAATTTTCTTGTATTCAACACATTACTCTTTCTAACCGCAAAGGGCAAAACAATTAAGAGTGAAGCCAGTTCCAATCTAATGAATTTACGAAAACATCATATTCACAAATAGGTTGAAGATAATTCAGATTCTAAAAAAAAATCAATATGAATAGCTCTTACCAATTGATGATATTAACCTTATGCGAAAACGCTTTATCTCAGTAGCATTCATATCGAATAATAGAAAATCAAACCGACGAAGCGTACCTGATTGATTCATCTGGATTGATTAGATTTGACCTCGAATTTGAATTTGAATTTGAATTTGAATTTGAGATTTGGAGAACTTCAAAAAACCGTGAACAAGTCTCTTCTCTTATGACGTAATGAGAATGAAACTAGGAGAGAGTATGGGTACGAACGACTTCTTCTTATTTATCTTAATGAGAATTCTGAGCATGATTGGATATAAAAAGTTTTTGTTTTGATTGGATTTTTGGTTTGGGTTGGTTAAATTTGAAAAAGTTGGTATGGTTAGTTGTTAGTGGATATATTTAAATAATATTTAAAATAAAATAATTAAAATTAAATTAATGTAAAAGTAGGAGAGAGAAGATGTGATGTGATAGTTAGTTAAAATTATTTGAGTTGATGAATAGTGAATTAAGGTTGATATTGTGTGTAAGAATGATTGGTTGATATTATTTAATTATATTGATAATATTGATGATAGTGGGGTTGAGTTAAAGTTGAGTTAAAAAAAGTGATTGAGTTAAAAATGATTGGATTTTTTTGGGTTGGATTTATATCCAATCATGCTCTGATAGTCCCTTTTGTATTTATCACGCTTTTTAAGGACTTCACTCATTAATTTAACCCAAATTATTGCTAATTAGATCCTTAATTAAGTTTAATATTATTATTTGTTAAATCCCTAAATAATAATATTATCATGTGTCCACGTTTAATCGTACCACAATTTAAATTAAGTTCATTAGTCAATATATTTATACAATACAATATGTGAACCAATCTATCCATTACATATATTTAATCACAAAATAAATCTAACAGTCTCTAAACTCAAGGGACATTTATACAGCTCTTATATCTCCATGGACTGATAAAATAAACTGGAGTCTGATCAGAAGCAAAATGTGCATGTGCTCACCCAAACATTTGGACCGTATTAAAGAGCCTTTCGTCCATTTCTAGAAGATCGGTCATACAATATAAAAAGAATTTGGCACATTCATTGTTATTAATAATAAAATTAAATCCATGATAATGTCATCATTAATAAAGTCAAATATGTCCTCCTCCTCCTACAAGTTCTGTTTCTTTAATAGTAGGTGAAATTCTCCCAGTCCAAAACCTCTAGAAGCATACTTTTACACGCACTTTGAAAATTTATGTAGGACCTTGTCAGACAAACTTTGCCCAAATATTCTTTATAGGTGAAAACACAAAAATTTATTGCACGGCAAATAATTTATTGGAGTAAACCCTAATAATTTATGAAAATATATGTATATTACATAAAATATTTCCAGCTGTAAAACATATTATTATCTTTCTAATCCGATTGCCTTTGTAGTACAGGACTTTTGTTTTTGCATATACATATTTCCCTCTGTAAAGTCAAAATCCATGAAGACAGTCAAAGGAGGCTGTAATGTCAGAATCTGTTAAAGGGTCCAAGAAGGTGGCAAATCCTAACTTCAAAGAAATATCTCAAACAATTCGAAAATAAATAAATNATAATAATATTCAAAAAGCCGCCTAGACCAAAAATCAGGCACGGCTATAAAACCCCACTTGCAAATCCTTCATCTTTCAACACAAACTCTGTTCTGCTTCTCACATTGCACAATTCAAGAAAGCATACAAAAAGGAAATCGAAAACTGAGAGTTGTAAAATTATCTAAGCTGCTGGGAGTTTTATTTTATTTTTTTCGAAATTATGGACACGGGTGATCTTTATAAAGCTAGCAATAGCTTACGAGCAAGCAATAGAAGCAGCACGAGTTACAGAGCAAACAGCTCGAATATATGGAGAAACACAGCCATGGAAGTATTTTCACGTTCGGCTCGTGAGGAAGATGACGAGGAAGCCCTTAAATGGGCCGCCCTTGAAAAGCTCCCGACTTTCGACCGTCTCAGAAAAGGGCTTCTGCTTGGATCAAAAGGCGCGAATGAAGTCGATGTTTTTAGTCTCCAGTTTCAGGACAAGAGGAATTTAGTTGACAGGCTTGTTAATATTGTGGAGGATGATAATGAGAAGTTCTTGTTAAAGCTAAGAAACAGAATTGACAGGTACACTTTTTTTTTTTTTTAATCTTATGTCAGTTATTCTTATTTATTTATCTATCAATAACTATAAGTGCTTATGTTTATGTCATTTTTGCAGAGTTGGGATCGATATGCCGACAATCGAAGTGAGATATGAGAATCTAAACATTGATGCAGAAGCCTATAGTGCAAGCAGGGCTCTTCCTACTTTTGTCAATTTCAACAAAAACATTATTGAGGTATCTGCATAGTTATAGAATAATATTAAAAAATATATATATATATTTCATGTAGTCTCAATCTAATATGTAATCACATTTAATTTACATTCAGGGGTTTTTGAATGCTCTCCATATAGTTCCCAGCAGAAAAAAACCATTTACCATCTTAAAAGATGTTAGTGGGATCATAAAGCCGTCGAGGATGACTTTGCTTTTAGGTCCTCCGAGTTCCGGGAAAACGACATTGTTGCTGGCTCTGGCCGGGAAGCTAGATCCATCTTTAAAAGTAAACAAATCAATTTTTCTTTTTTTTTTTTTTTTTTTTTCAACACCTTTTTTGGTTTCTCCATGAATGATCAAATTTTTTACCCAACAAATTTTACGTACCGTAAAATTTGCTTAGGTTTCGGGAAGGGTGACTTACAACGGACATGGATTAGATGAGTTTGTGCCACAAAGAACAGCAGCATATATTAGCCAAAATGATTTGCATATTGGTGAAATGACTGTGAGAGAAACTTTAGCATATTCTGCTCGGTTTCAAGGTGTCGGCTCGCGTTACGGTACGCAAAAATCTCCACTAGATATGATTTTGTACTTTTCGAGAATTATCTAAAATTTGAGAGTTTTGTTTTTCAATGTTGTACTTATTGTTGAGATTTGGTTTGAACAGAGATGCTGACAGAATTGTCGAGGAGAGAGAAAGCAGCGAATATCAAACCGGATCCCGATATTGATATCTTCATGAAGGTACGAAGTTTATCGATGTTATTAGTACGCATTTAAATGTACCCTGCTAAAAATTTAAGCACTCTTTTATTAGTACCCCTGCTAATCTGTTAGCATTGTTATGTGTTTAGTGCTTACTAAAGGGATATGGTAATTCATAATGTGTTCACCAGGCATAACTGAAAGTGTTGTTTATTGTTTATAATTATTTTGGTGTGTGCAGAGTATGTCTTACTAGTTATAACAAAGGAAATTGTTAGTGAAAACAAGTTAATAACATAGATGCAGACATAACATAGAAAAGCCTCAGTTCCTTTCCTGTATTATTTCCTAGTCCCAAATTTATTTAACAGCAATGACAATTTAATCTGTGATACTTATCTATTTATTTAACAAAAAAAAAAAAAATAGAAAAGAAACTTCATATTTCCATTCCAATGATTTATAGGCAGCAGCAACCGAAGGAGATGCTGCGAATGTTGTCACGGATTATGTCCTTAAAGTTCTGGGACTCGATGTTTGTGCCGACACTTTAGTTGGAGATGAAATGATAAGGGGAATTTCGGGAGGACAGAAAAAGCGTGTCACAACCGGTAAAATAAAAAAAAATAAAAAAAGATCATAATTTACATTACAAACTGAAAATATATAACATAACATCATGTTAAACATGCATTATACTGAATTTTGTATTTTATCACAGGAGAAATGATTGTTGGGCCTTCAAAGGCACTTTTCATGGACGAGATATCGACTGGACTCGATAGCTCGACAACTTACCAAATCGTGAATACGCTTAAACAATATGTCCACATCATGAAAGGGACTGCTTTTATCTCCCTCTTGCAACCGGCACCCGAGACTTACGATTTGTTTGACGATATTGTCCTTTTGTCCGATGGACAAATTGTCTATCAGGGCCCTCGAGAGCAAGTTCTTGGCTTTTTCGAATCTATGGGCTTCAAATGCCCAGAAAGAAAAGGAGTAGCTGATTTCTTGCAAGAAGTAAGCT